CGAGCTCACTTCCCCCGTTTGGCAGGTTACATGATCAAATATAATACTAAAAGACTAAAGGCTTGTGGCTCTTTTGTATATATTTAAAACACACAGTAGGAACATAAGAACATCTCAAATCATTTAGAAGAAAAAAGGGTTATCAACCAAAATCTTTGGAAATTTCATAAAATTTAAATATCGGCAAACATTCCAACCAAAAAGAAAAAATTCCAACATTTGGCTATGGAGGGCACTTCACACGTGAACCAAATGGTGTTATAACATTTTCCTTCAGGGAAACTAGCCACTAAACCCCATTAGAAAGAATACAAGAGCAAAAATGGAGACATCCCCAAGATACCACGTATTCGATTGGAACATTCTGTTATGAAGCGCTCATCTACCACGGGCTTTCCTTTCCATTGCATACATTACTGTACATTTCTACAATGCAATGTTGAAACAGCCTCCAAGTTTTGCAAAGTAGATTGATGTCCATTCTACAAAAATATTAACTTACAGTACATAACACTGAATAATTTTAATCTGTACATATTTTCCCTCCCACAATAGGTGACACACGTCAGTTTGTACAAGTTAGACAAAAACCATCTGGTTGTTTACATCTGGATTAAGAGTCAAAAGAGATCAACCAGAAGTAACGGGGTGGGTATAGTTTGAGAAAGTATAAATACAGTGTAATAGTAATTGTGGTTAACAATATTCAGCTCTTAACAAAGTGATACAAAATAAATCATCTTAGATTTTTGACTGCAAAGATCTAGCTGCGAAGGTTCTGCCAAACAGTCGACCAACTGATCCAAAAGGTTAAGGCTGACTTGACTTAGCAAGCTGCAGCGCAACCAAAAACATTGGCGCAGTTCAGAGCTCTTCAAATGCATAGCTTCAGTGTTACACGCACATTAATTATATTCCTTCAATTAGTTAATCCTCTAGACAGTTTCCTTTTTGTTTTGCATGCATCCCGTTCCATTTTCATTAAGGGCATCTCTTCCTTGGTCAATCATGTGCTTTGCTTTTCAATTTGCTTTTGTGATTTTTTTTGTATGTTTTGTTTGTTAAGCTGTCAATACCTCCAACACTTGGAAAATGAAATATAGATGTGGTTTTACTTACAGAAGAGAATCAGAGTTACATGGATAATGCCAAATGAAATGAAATAAGTGTCAGAAACAGTTTATAAAAATGGCACATTTATTGCTACAGAACGGTCATGTACATGACTTCATCGAATAACTACAGATGGGAAACAGGTAATGGCCTAGACCAAGCTGGGTTTGTTTTTGTCTTGAAGGAACTCCAGCACACAACCTGTTTGGACACTTCTACAAATCAGAAATACACCAAAAACATGAAAAAATCGAGGCACTCAGCCACACATTGAAAACAAGGTGTAACTGTTTATCTTTTTTTTTTGAAATATTTTCCCTTTTTTTCTTTTTTTAACAATTTTTTAAGTTTTTAATGCTGCAGCTATGTGTATAGTCGCAAAAAATTTCCCCGCTGCGACCTACAACTAAAAAAAACAAACAAACAAAACAAAACAAAAAACAAAAAAAGCTACCATACAGTTTCATCTCAATAACACATGGTAAAATAACATCTTTTAAATAGTAAAATAAAGTAACAAACTTTTACTCATAATGATTCCAAAAATCTACAAAGAAGAAATATTCAGAATCTGACAATTTTTTTTTGTAATATTCATGGTATAAAAGGATTGCTCCTACGAAAAATAAGCCAAATATATTTTTATTTTTAAATTTAGTTTTTTTTTTCTTACTAGGGTGTACTACAGTCTATTTTATAGCAAAAAGAGCACTAGACAAACAAAGCTTTATAACAAAAAGCCAGGCACTGATACATGGTAAATCTCTGCTTTTTTTTTTTCTTATCTTCACTTAATTGCATCACAAGTAACAAGAATGAAAAAGGCCACAGTTCATATATTTTCACCATTACATATGTCTATAATACTTGAAATGAGGATGGCAAAACCAGCACTGCACAAAGATGAGCCCACTTCAAGTCCCATGAGAAAGAGCATGTCTCTAAAGAAAAACAAACGAAACCAAAGCAAAAGAAAACACGAGGCCTAACGGCCTTGGTGCCCCATTGTGTTGGAATTCATCATATTCCATCTTGACTTTTTTTTGTTTCCAGTCAGCCAGCAGACTAAATTTTTGTGCTTGTTTATGCTGAAATTGTTTCGTTCCTGACTCAAGTTCACTTTTGGACACAGATCATATTCTGCCTGTTGGATCCAAGACGAAAATCCTCTTAACCCCAAGTCTTGGTTCAACGCCCTCCCCAATCCCGAACCCCTCATCAAAATAAAGATCACAAATTAAAAAAAAAAATCAAGATATAGGAAAAAAGCGAAAAACAGAAAGGAATTGGAAGACTGAATCAGAACCAGTTGCGTTACTGGGTGGACTGACAGTTGTATAAACATTAGTGTTCCTTGCAGCTACACAGAAGACAAATGGTAAAACTTTCTAGATGAACAGATCCCTATTCTGCATATTCATAAATTACTTGAATGTGGAGGTGGATCAACTGTTCCAAGTTGCTTTTAATGTCCAAGTGTCTTAAACAGATCCCCAGCCTATGTATCATCATATATATATAGCGTAGTATGGACCCTTATGACATTTTTGTATAGTTCTTTCATCCTGTCTTCTGCTAAATTTCATTCTGCAAATCCAGCGCAGGATACCAATATCTTACCTGGGTTTGACAATTTACAAAACAACGAGAAAAAAAACACACTAAAAAGGCCACATTCCCTTTCGTCTTTTTCTGTTTTTTTTTTTTTGTGGTTTTTTTTGTTTTTGTTTTTTTCAAATGGGGATACAACCCAATTGATACAGGTGGGTGCAGATCATGTTTCCCCACAGAGCACAAAGTAGCGAGCAGCTTTTGGGGGCTGTCAGAGAGTTTTCCACTTACTTCCAAAGGGAATTCAACAATAGAGGTATTACATTACTGAGTAATGAATACATCAAAGCTGGTGAACAGTTACGTTGCAGCTTTTACTCGGTTTTAGTGAGAACAAAATATAAAGCACCAATTTAAAAAAAATCAAATAACTACAATTTAATTTTTTGCTTTGTTTACAGATTTGAAAAACCTTAAATCACCTCTATTAAGCACCTTTATGATAACATGTATCAAAAGTGCCATTCTTAAAATGTACATCGATGCAGGGAGTGTTTCCAGTTCCCTAAAGAGTAAACACCGTATTTTCTTCTGTACACTTATCCTGAATGTGATCGAAGTATACCTGCTTCCTATATAATATTGTTCCTAGGGATACCCGCCTTGGTAGACTATACAAAATGAGTGCAGAATGTACCACTAAAAGGAAATCTTTACATACTGAGGGAACAAGTACACATGGTTTCCATTATTCAAGAGGAGGGGAGCATATACAATATTGTCTTCCACGCCCTTCTTTGAACCCCTTTGTTCGTACGTTTCACAGGAAAGCCTCAAAATAACTTTTCATGGAGTTTGATTTCTGCTCTTCTCCTAAGGTTTTAATCCACCTCCACATTTTAGGAACTTATCAACAAATCAAAGTATTTTAGTTTTATCGCTACTGAACATATTTACAGTTTTCAACACACACACACAGCTAATCAAAATGTTTATGGGTTTGTAAAAGATGACCACGTGGTAACTATCTTATTTGTTCTTACATTTTCAGAAATGAACATAAAAATTCAGATTCTTGTAGCTCACTATTTCATTTAAATGAGACATTTTTAAACCACAGTTTAAAAAAAAAACAAAAACCAATACAATGTATTAAAACACATAATAACAAGAGTCTACGTGTAAAAATATAACTTTTACATACACAATTTCAAAATAATGATACGTTTGCCATTTGTTGCATAAAATTTACAAATGTATTTCATTACTATATAACTGGCAAAACAGGAGAACAGATGGAACATTTAGACCATTTTGATGGATTTATGGCATTTACTCAGTGCTGATAGGTGGAAAAAACTACTTGAACAGGGATTTTTTTTTTCTTAATACATGCCAAGATTGTGTGGCTGTAAAATAGAAACGAGTTAGAGACAAAAGGATGCTGACAAATACTTAACTAGGAGCACTATTTGTTTACTGCACTATACACCAAAGTCAATCAGTATAAAGATTCACGATGGAAGTTGGTTCAGTTGTGCCCAGACGTCAAAGCTAGCTATCTGATGAGTTGCTGTGCCATAGCTTGATCTACGCTTCTATCAAATATGTTAAGTATAAACTTCATTCATACTGGCCAGAGAAATACTGCACTACCCCTCCTCAAGAAAGTGCAACTTAATGCTTTAGGACTTATAAGGCTTGTTATAATGCTGCATGATGATTGAATATTGGCATTTTTCAGACGAAGGAGGAGGCAGTTAAGTCATCTACATCTTAGTAAACCCATTTTGAAAAAAAAAATCAAGAAAGCAACAAAATCAATCAGCTCTGTCACACTACTTGCAATTTTCTCATTTTAATGGTTTTTGAACTTTACTTGTTTTTTTTGTTTTTGTTTTTTTCCAAAAATCTGACCATGTATTCAGAAACGCCTCACTGCACACTACTTCGGCTACACATGTAGGTAACACTTTAATCATTTTGTTAAATCACAGCCACTTTGATTATGTTATGTTTCCGATGATATAAACATTGGAAGGCACAGTGGTAACATTGTAGCATTCTAACCTTGTACCTCTGAAAATCCCAGAATAGGGTCACAAATGCAACATTACAATTCAGACAAACTCTTTTTTGCCATGTCTTAGTAATGCTGCTTGTAATATCTACACATGATGTGACTTTTAAGTCCTGTGTTCCCAAAAGACTGGAGAAACAACTTTCTACTTATTTATGAATGAAAAGCAACATCAGGGTCAGCATTTCATCCTGCACCGCCCCTCCGGAAGCAGAGTTGGCACTACAGGTTACAATAACAAACCGGGAAGAAAGGACAGAAGTAAGACCAAAAAAAAAAAAAAATCCATATTTACAGTAAAATCTTTCTTTTAAAAAAGTTAATCAGTACTATTTTTTTTACAGGAGAAAAAAGTCTGAAACAAATGAACAAAAGCTTACCATAGTCACTAAATTTTTAATATATATTTATATATATATTTATATATATATTTGTCATAGGTCTATAAGATCCATCTGTTCCTCCTACCCTAAGGAATGGCTAATGTCATCACTTTGCTGTCATCAGGACGTTTGCTGGTTTTGTTACGAGGGCAGCCGAGCTTCCCTTATTCACTATCCAGTAATTATAAACACTAGCTGACTTGAATACCAACAAAAACGTTCATGTAGTTTTCTTCAGAAGTACACTTTTTCATTATTGCAAGTTTACAATTTTTAAATTAAATATTTTTTTCAGACTTACAAATTAATTATATTTTTTTTTTTCCAAAAGAAGTTTAGGCACAAATGCATTGTTCCACAGTGTGGAAAGATTGCCATTCAGTCTCTGGGCCGCGTCCCAGCCTGCACACGCTGCTTTGCACGTTCTGAATGATATGTTAAAGAGAGTCATCCTGCAAGTTGCACTTTTTTTCTTTCTTTTTTTTTTTGTTTGTTTTTCGGTTTTTTGATAATTGGGAATGCTGAAACCTCTTGCGTCTGCGATTCATAACTACTCAGACTTGTCTTATATTACAAAAAAAGGGGTTAAGGAGAAGTGTTTATGTGGGCTTAAGATAATACAGCTGTTAAGGAAGTGGTCTCTTGTATTAATGAAGCAATGTGGCAACTTGGACCTGCGAAGAAAAAAAAAAGGAGGAAAATTAGTTAACACATTGATAACAGAACAGATAAATGTTTTATTTACAAAACCTTTTTGTTAAGGGGAAAATCTGTTAATTTGGGGAAAATGTGACCATTCTGGCCACTGCCCTGGCGGGAGTAACAAAGGGAGGATGTCAGACGCAGCTGAAAGCACACTTGCCCTTTACATCTGTCCCATGTGATTCGACGCGTCTCCCATTCCAGGGTGGGGGCCCGCCAAGGACAGCGGGGGCGGCTCCGAGGACACCTTCTCTTCCTCCCTTCTTTTCAGACACGCGGCTTTCGGGTTCAGATTCCTTTCTGTGGAAGAGGAGCGCAGGCACTTAGTGAACGCCCAGGCAGCCGGCGGCGGGCGGAGGTGCTCTGCCGATGGCCCCCGCTCGCAGTGTTTACACTACGGGACAAAGGCCGGCTCGCAAGTGTGCACCGCGGAGACTCCTGTGCTCAGTCACCAGGAGAAGCTGAACTGCATGGAGCACCTGCAGAGCCACTTTACAGTGTAACAAAGTGGGAAATGCAAATATACTAAGCTCCGCCGACTGACAGCCCACAGGGAAGCATTGTATCGTGGCCTCCATTGGGAAGAAGCCTGTAAACCTAACTACAGGAGAAAGGGGAGCTGCCTTATAGGTTTACATATGCTCTGCAATGGACGTAATTATTCTGAATGATGTTTACTAGTGTCCTATCAGCTCCTGCTCAAGGCAGGAGAGCCCGTCAGGGCCCCCTCCCCTCGGTGAGACAGAGGCTTCTGCAGGGAGCCGCCAGCTTGCACTGACCTCGGACCTGCTGCTCCAGGCTGAGGATGACAGCCACGGCCTGGTGCAGGATCAGGAGCTTGGTCTGGGGCTTGTCACTCTTGAGGTGGAGCTGCACCATGCGGCCGAGCTCCTTGAAAGCCTCGTTGATGTCGCGGACCCGCAGGCGCTCGCGGGCGTTGTTGGCCATCCTCCGCTCCTTCTCGCGCTCTGCCTTCTGCTCCGGTGTCAGGTCCTCATCATCGTTATTGCTGCGGGACAAAAGGGATGCGACATTTTCTAATGGTGTGGGGGAAAAGACGGTGTCTTTATTACTTCTGTTTTCTTCCACCTCAAGCTCTTGTCCTTGGTAGAACTGTCCAAGCACTTGAGCCTGGGCTTGCTTTAGATGGCTGTCACCGTCCCTAGATAGTAAACCCAAAGCAAACAGGAGAGGTTACAAAGTTAGGGCCCAGGGTGCGTCCATCCTAACGTAGGAGGGCAAAAGGCTCCGCTCTGCAAAGCAGGCCACGGTCAACTTCGGCTGAAGTCACACTGCCTGACCACAATTCAGAAAGAATTTTAGACTGAAGCTTTTTCTTTTTTTTTAAACTTTCATACCATGACATCTGAAACTGAAGGAAAATAAGTGACTGTAAAACATTTTGATAGGTCAAAATTAACATGGTGCAGCTACACAGGAGTAAGAAGAAAGTCCTGTCTTGAAGACACCAGAGAAATGGGAGTGCAGACTTTTGTCCCGGTCTCACCATTAATTTGTGTGAAAGGCCTGGTCATTCTATCGAATGTATCTGAATCTCATTTCCTCCATGGATTACATAAAAAGATAAGAAAAACATGATCTCCATGGCCTTTAATATGATGGATGTGTATGATCCCAGAAACAAGTTAGGGGAAACCTGAGTTGACATGAGCCATAGAAAACAAACAAAACAAAACAGAAACCAAAGATCTACTGGTTAGATCTTTCAACTCATTGTGAGTTGAAAATGAAGCCAAAAAGCTAGTCTCTGACTGTAAGAGCAGGAATATTACATGATTCACATTGAAGGCACGGTTGGACTCTGTAGAGTCTGGAAAGGCGAGACTACTTCTGTTTGTGGGTGTCATGCTGACAAATTAGAAGAAACGTTTGAATGGAGGGCAGATAGGCTGATGAGCCATCTGGAAAGAATATCATATAAGGAAGGTTTCACAGAATCAGGGCTTCAAACTTTTCATGGGCGATTATGTAAAAAAGAGAGGCGTGGGAGATGTCTTGTTTCAGGAAGGCAGAACAGAAAGAAGAACTCTGAGCGAAACAGTTTGATTTAACATGAGCAAGAGAGTTTTGGGGCATGAGTGAGATGAAAAATAAAATAAACTTCAGCAAAAGTAAAAGGTTCTCCATTATAAGAAACAATATGGAAGGAGACCATCTGCAAGGATGTTAACCTAGAGATTTAGGCATTGATCTAAAGAACCATGAAGGTTGACCTCTAGTTTAAAATCCCATGAATCTGAAATGGTCACAAGAAAAGATATTAATCACAACACTTTGGAGCTGCAGAACATGCGCGAAGTTATCTAGTCAATTAATGAAGTTGGCTTAAAATACATGGCTCCAAATCTTCTACTTTGGAGAATCTTTTGGTAACTTCCGAATTGCAGTAAGGATCAACTATGGTAGAGGGGCCCCAACAAATCAAAAGTGGAAGGAAGTGATATTCTTGGGCTGTAAGCACATGCTGCACAGAGAGATGACCTACATAAGCCAAGAACACATGTACGGGAGGGGAGGAGGGAGACACCAAAGGAAGATGCTGTAAGACTTGGCTCATCTCCCCAAAGGTTAAACTCTCTTCCAGATGGGACTGTCTGCTGTGGATGCGTGCTAGCGCACATACAACGGAGATGAACCAGTCAGAAAAGGCTCTGACATCTGATCCTCCTGACTTCCTCTGCTGATCCTTCTCTCCTTCACCCACGACCTCTGCTGATGCCAAGGAAATCAAGGTAACTGTTAATTCACGTCCACATTCCACTACACCAATAAGATGTAGTAAGTGAAAAGAGAACAGAGTCAAGTTTCTGCTGGGCCTGTCCTGAAGTTAAAAATTTGGGGTAACATTTTTATATATCAAACATGTGCCATACCTTTGGAAGAGTGGGCCTGAAAATGGCAATAGTTTTCCAAAGGTATCCAGGCGAATGGCTAATTAGAATTGGTTGTGCAAATAAAACTGCCTGGATTGGAAAAGCACTGCCTTATAACACAGTTTTGGAGGCGTAAGTAAATGTCACAACAGTGACCTTTTAAAATAAGAAGGTCCTTAACAGGAAGTTAAAATGTTGTCCTGAAACTTTAAAGGATCCACTAATATGCATAAGTTACGGCCACTACTTACGTGACCAAGAACTGGCTGAGTTAACAGAGAAGATGGTAATCATGTGAGAGCCCCTCCTTGGGACTTCTCACCCATGTGGCCAAGAGTCAGGAAGCCGTGGTGATGGTGGGAGGTATAGGCTGGAAGGTTTTGGCAGTTTTGGAACTTGTGGTGGGATATGTAATAAAATTTATCTCAATAGTTATGAAGGCAATATGAAAATGTGGATGTTCTTAATTCCTACCGGACACTAGATACAACCCTGAGCACAAGAGCCTTTAAAAGGAAGGTGTACTCAGCCCTGTCTGGGTAGCTCAGTTGGTTAGTGTTACCCCCATATGCCAAGATTGCAGGGTTGATCCCCGATCAGGGCACATATAAGAAGGAACAATGAATGCATAAGTAGGTGAAATCAAAACTGATGCTTATTTCTCGCTCTCTCTCAAATCAATTTTTAAAATATCTTTCTTTAAAAAATAAAAAAAGGAAGGTTTATTCTGAGTACATTTAATTTGCAAATCAAAAAAATCCAGGGGAATTGACATAAAGCATGTGGGTGCCACGGTGTTCAAAAACCACCTGATTATCAGATTAAAGTTCAAGGACAGAGGTTCTAATTTAAAGACGCTGAATGCTGTATTTAAGAAAACCAACCAGAAGACATTTCCTGCAGTGGATGTTCTACAGGAGGGAGGATAGGGAGAAAAACAATTAGCAATTTAGGTGTTGCATATATATATCTCTCTCTCTCAACATGTTTAGGATAAATCATTTTTTGCTCTTTTAAGATAAGTAAAACATTACAGTTGCATATATATAAATTGAGATTTCAATATCACAAATTTCTCTTTTTAAAAATATTTTGGAAAAAACATTTCTGACCAAATTTGTGGAATAAGTATCAGTTGCAATTTGCTTTTACTGTGTGTAATTAGCACTGGATCCAAATTCATAACTGCAAAGGCATTTCAGGCATCGCTAGAGTACAGACAGGTATCTTAAACGATACGCTAGTACCTCTAGAACAGGCCTTTTGTTTTAATTTTACCTGCCAGGAAAAAACTGAATAGTTTCTTCCTGTTCTGTTCACTTCATCAAAGTCCAATAAAGGAATTAAATGAAGCGACAGTATTATATACTGTTACCTAGATCTTGACCTAGTAATTGATTTGATATCCTTCTTGTCGTCATCTAATTTCTTGTCCTCGGAAGATTTCGTGTCTTGCAGGTTCTCATCGCCCTCCTCGTCGGACTTGATTTCCGAGCTGCCGGAGGACACGCTCTGGCCCTGCAGTCCCGGGGGCATGCCTGCAGGGAAACGGAGGCAGCTGACATTTCCACGGACGACTTGGGGTGTAAACACACACCCCCCCGCCCCCAGGCTGCGGAGCTGCCAGCCACACAACTCACACGGCTGAACTGTGATCCTTCTGGCATTTTGTGTGTGTGTGTGTGCTACCTGGCGAAGTTTCAAAAATGCACCTGCGGAAACAAGTTTTCTCTTCATTGGCTCTGAGGTTAAATTCTATTTTGCAATCTTTTGGAGTAGATGGTAATTTCACTGTCTACAAAACATCAACTTAATTGCAATGAAAATCATAATCATGAAAATCACACACCTCAATGTTCTGATTAAGAACCCAAGTAAATATCAGCTATTATATTGAGTTTCTTCCATATGCAATGATTTAATAGAAAAATGTCCTTAAAATATAATTCCCACGGAGTACACGAAATATGTGCAGTCAAGACTTCAATAGATACCCTAATGATATTCTGAAATTAGGCTTCTCTTATCCTCAAAGAATAATCAGCATTTAAAAAACCGATGCCTATGGAAAGCAGATAGCTGCTCAAAGAAGAAATTTCTAGCTTTAGCATAGATCACAATACAGTTTAAAACTTGACCCTAATGTAATCATTTGTTTCTCAGGTAAGAAGCATGTTGAATATTACTCCCTATTTGTAATCTGGGTGGTCTAGGACCTTGTCATTCAAAATTGGGTTCATGGGTCAGGAGCATCCTTACCACCAGGGAGCCCATTAGAAATGCAGACTCTCACACCTATTGAATCAGAATCTGCACTTTAACAACACCACATGCTTACACATATTAAAGTTTAAGGAGCATTGATCTAGGATAGAGAAAGAAAAACCAAAGGCTTGTTACAAGATCTGCCGCCTTATTACTACTCAAATAAAAATGGGGAGGCATACCCATATATAATTAACACTCAGATTAGTACAATGTGAAAGAATGCTTATACATACTCCTGTACCAGTGTTACCATTTTTATGCTAAGCGTGAGGGGAATGAGGTGTTATTTGTCCCCTCACCACCTGGTCAGCCAGCCATACAGGGAGCAGGGCACCTGGGTCTTGCGCCACAGCACGATCTCCTGGGGCCAGGAAAGGCCCTTTGCGGTCAGTGGCCTGAGGCGGTCATTACAGGCCTAGATGACTCGATACCGAAAATCATCCAGGTTCCATTTTTTTAATGTACCTATATTTCCTTCAATCTTCAACAACAAAAACAATTTCCTTCCTTTCTATTCATTTGGAAATACCATTTTCAAGCTACAACTAACCACATTAGAGAACCTGAATGAGTAAAATGGGGAAATGGCTAAAATAAAATTTCCTCTCATCAGCCTGTTGTCTCATTCCCTGCTGAAACAGTACCAGGATTTCAGAGGATGTTTGAGAAAACAGCTACTGAAGAAACACAATTTGCGGGCTCCGTTGTAAATCCTTTCCCATTTACTTACCATTTTTGTACCAAATTTGAGTCTTGGTTGTCTGCCAGCACTTCCTGAGGGATGAGCGCCAAGTGAGATGGGGATCAACACTGGCTCTATTGTTGTTTAAGTGAGGCCAGAAGTGCCCTCAGAGGCGGACCTACCTCGGTAAGGGTCCTGGGGTGGGTTCAAATCAGGGGAAGTTGCAGACTGGACCGGAAGCTGTGGAACTGGAACCTGGTTTGGCACAAGAGAATGGTTGCCTCTGAGGGCCACGCCATCTTCACGATGGGCCCCAACCTGCAAGGTGAGAGGAACCACAGAGTTTAGTGGGAACCAGCTATTTCCTGGGATAGCCAGGACCTGAGGAAGACTGGCCTTTGAAACACAAAACTCCCAAATGCATTTCACTAGAGGGCGCTGAAGGACCGCACAGACACCTATAGAACCCTGCAAAACACTTAACACTCCATAAGATGCCGCGCTGTACGTTCAGTGACAAACATGGCAGAGTAGCTCAGGCAGGTAAAACGTCAAATTGTCTCCCAGGGTGCTGCAGTGGAGCGCACTGATTCGTACCCATCTGTCTTCTATCATGTCCGCCAACAGATCTGACAATTATCTTAATGCCCATATGCTTAATTGTGGGCTTCTCAATTCCCCCATTGCTATCGGAAATCCTACAGGAATTTCAATTTGGCATTCGACTTTCATTTCAGGGGATAAGATTCTCAGGCCTGCCATTTTTTTTCCATAATGCCAGCTAAGCCTCTGACAGCGGAAGCTACAGCAGTATGGGACATAGCCCCTGCTCGGTACAAATATAATAAAATGTCACCTGGCTTTCCAAAACTGGCAGCCCATTCCAAATTAATGTTTACTGTATTTCATCAGCTGCTGAGTTCCAAATCCAAAGGGGGACCGTTTCTGCCAATGCCACCACACCGGAAAATGTACCAATAAAGGTTTTATTAAACACACCAGTAATGCCATCATTGCCATGCAAAGATGTTTGGACAGTTTTCCATTTTTTTTTTCCCACTATCCTCATCCTAGGAAGACACCATATTGTAAACACTCTTTATGCTTCCAAGAATAAAATTATAGCATACAGCATGATGACTTGGTCTGGAAAAAATACTGCTGAGCTTTTTATTAACAACTACTACCTACTCTGGGTCCAGCGATGGAGAGCTCATGGCATCGAGGCAGCAATTGCTGACTTTGTAGCGTGCGCCTTAAAGCAGAACCAGTAAGCTTTTGCAAACTAGGAGGAACCTGAGTAGTTGCATTTTCATTTGCATAGTTATTTTCTTAGCTTGTTGTTAGGTGAACACTTACACAGGACAATGAGTCTAATATTGGGAATATTTACCCATGACTTTCGATTGCTGTAAGTCAAAAACCTGATTTGTTTCCAATCCAAAATACAGAGCCACAAAGGTGAACCTTCATTCACTCTTTTGCTACCAAATGTTTTTAAAAAGAGTATTCTCAAGGAATGCAACAATTAGAATCTGACCTGACAACAGTAACATTCACAGAACTGAACACAGCCCATGCTAGCTGAAGGCAGCCTAGTGTAAAATCATCTCCTTTACACGCTCCAGAACAATACAGCAGAAAATAATTCAGGGGCAGGGAAAAGATCATGTAAATCACACTAATCGCCCAACTTCAAAATACAGCAAGACTGGTACACGATTTAAAAACTCGTGAGCATCAGGGAGTACGAAAGAATGTTGTAGCTAAGAGACGGGAGGAGCCCCGTGCCGTCTGCCACCTGTGTGCCTGTGTCCCTTCCGGGATTATTCTGAATGGTGGTTCTTCAGCTTCTCCGTGTGTGAAGCCCATGTGCTCAGAACTGACTCTCCCCCAAAGCGGTCCATTCCATTCGCACCACAAGTCTCCTCCCTGAACCCTCCCTCGCTGGTTCTGCTTTCAGCTGCTGGAGTCGAAGGACAAGCGCTGGCCCATCTCGCACACGGGGCCCCTCGGCCATGCCCCTCCTGGCTTCCGCCGGTGACGGAAGCCCGCCCTCTCACAGCCCATACCACTCCTTCAACCATTTCTCAATCCCTGTGGGAATAGGTTTTTATTTTTCCTTCCCAACAAAGACTGACAGCTGTTTTCCATTCAGGTTTGGGTTCGCCATTTTTATATTTGTGCATTTCCCAGACTGATTCAATCCATGATCATCCTTTCAATCTAAGATGTCAACTTGTAAGCATGAATTTTACAGGCCTTGATCAAATGGTAGCTCTTTAAGCCTGTCAGTCAATGTTAACCTAAATAATTACCTTGGTGCTGATTCATATTTATTGATATTCCCAGTGGATTTAATTTCTTGAATTTCCAGGGAAGATGGTTTTAAGTTGGAATCACAGATCTGAGCATTGTAGAGATGTATATTCCTTCTATTTTAGAATCATTCTATTAAAACATACAAGCCTTCTTTGTAGACATCTATGATATAACTTAAGGTTAATATTTTGCTTTTCACTTAAAACATACTCAGACATTGATCCTGCCATTTCTTTTTTTCCCTTCTGGGTCACATTCAGATTAGTTTTTACAAGAGGAAAAATGAACGCACACCAATTACCTTTATATTTTCTTTGCCTCAACTATTATGAAAGACAGTGTAACTGAGTGAAAAGAATACAATAATGAGAGTCAACAATAGCTAGATTCTAAGTATAGCTGGTTTCTTTAATATCTGTATAACCATAGATTAAGTTACTCAAATCCAAAATGGAGAAAATAATACTAGAAGTTTTGGAGAATAAGTCTTATATTTTTTGGAAGAAGGAGCAATATGCAAAACAACTGGTACACAGTAATTATAGATATTGTTATGTGTTCTAACTGAAAGTACTTGTATATTACATAACAATTAGGGTCTATATAAGTTCAAGAACACTCAGAACCCAATTACAATCATCTCTGCACTTTTGTCTCTATTTTGTTCATATCCATTCGATTTTAAATCGCTCTCCTGCACAATGGCAATAAAATCTTAAATGATATTATAGATATGTTTAAGAACATAGTTGTTCCAACTATGTTTTTGTTCAGATTTGAGCCATACATGTTATCTAATTTTATACATTTTATATAGATCATTTTAGATCATCTCAAGTAATACATACTTCCTTTATGGAAAGGACATAATTAAGGACAAAGTTATGCCTCATGTTGTAAGACCTCTCTTGTAAACTATGTGTATTCCAGGTCAAACCAATGACTGATGATAGGTTCAGATCCATGTGGTAATGAGCATGAGTCTCCAGGATCAATTCCATTGCTTCTGGCTATAAAATATTCTAATCTGAAGAATTAGCTTTGCCACAAACAGCATGTTTCCTTGACCACAAACACCAAGTCCTATTTACTTCTCTTCCAGAAACACCATTTCCAGAAAGACATAAAAGAAAGGAAAGAAAGACACCAGATGGCTTTGGGTGGTGGGCACACAATATACAGATGATATATTATAGAACTGTACCCCTGAAACCTATGTAATTGTATTAACTAATGTCACCCCAATGAATTCATTTAAAAAAAGATTTATCATGAAGGTTTCTGTAACTTAGGTTTTGGACTGGGCCAACTCTTGGGGCCACGAGTGATTCCAGCCTACCTCCTCCCTCTGACGGTACCTCGGTCTCTCGGGCTTCTGCCCCCTCCTGACTCCCGCCTGGCCTCTCCCTTCATGGTATCATGTAGAATATTCTTTCAGGTTCGGTATCTGCTGCTAACTCCCTCTCTGTCTTAGCATTTCTCAGTTCAGAGTGCGAGGCCACCTGATGGCTCAGTTCATCATTTTGAAGCAGACACGGACCATCCTTTTAATGGGCCTCCCTAGGATTGAGTGTCCCCACTCGTGGTCCGATGAGGTGCAAAGAGGAAGAAGAGGCCAGATCATGTGGTCTCAACACGCCTGCGCCTTCTGCGGCCCACAGATCACGGCTGTTATGTGTAAATATCTGAGTTACATTTCATCTTAGCTCAAGTTATAGTCAAATTGCAACACAGCTACTTAAATTCTCCAGTGTGAATTTATCATTGGGAATAACTAAATAACTTTAGAAGTGCATTATTTCTTTTGAATCTGTAAGCACCATGTAATTTTTAAATAACCTTACTTTCTGAGGAAAAGACTGATAAATCAGAAGCATGTTTAAATCACAGTATATAGAGTTTAAGGGCTTGGAGAGACTTGGAAACCACTTAGGCCAAATTCCTCCTTTGACAGAGAAGAAAGCTAAGGCTGGAAATGGTTAAGTGATTTAGTGAACATCTAGTTAGAGGATTAAAAGACAAGTTTTGAACTCAGAAAACTTAAAGCGTGGAACAATTTGGGTGTATGTACAGGGAGGGGCAAAGGTAGGTTTACAGTTGTTCATATGGAAAATAATACAGTAATTAATAAGTAATAATATAAGAATAAACTGTTTCATGTACTCACAACTATAAACCTACCTTTGCCCCACCCTGTATATATATTTAAGGGACAAAAGAGGTTTACTTCCTGTAACTTCTGTTTTAAAACTGTGTAGATACGTGTGTGTGTGTGTGTGCATGTATGTGTGTATATATATATGTGTATGTGTGTATATATATATATATGAGTTTGTGTGTATAGATACAGATATGGATATGAAAATCATTTTAATTTTCTTTATCATAGAGGAAAAAACCATTACAGTTCCCCAACTCAGGCCAAGACCAAAATGTCTAACTAAATTACAAAATTTAATATCTGCCACAACTCCTCCAACATAAGCAGATTTAAAAGATACGCAGCTTCAAATTACGTGGCTGTTGGCAAGGCTGTTTTTATGTGGAGATGCATCCAGCACCCTGGTAAATAGCCTGATCCTGATCCTCAAGCTAACAACAAACACCACAAACAAAAAAGACATTCAGTGTTTCTGCTCTCTTTGTTTCCAGGGAGTATTGTGAAAGTAATTATTCTGTTGTATTTAAGAGGCCTATTTCATGGATGGGAAAATGTATTAAATTTCATTTGGCAGTTATTCAATCCTTGTTAATGTTATCTCCAGAGATAACAGCTTCAAAACAGGCTTTCAGACCCCAGTTCCTTCTCTTCTACCACAATCCTTCTAAAAGAGTGCAGGGCGTGACATTTAGGACACTTGTCATCAGTTTCTAGACCAAGTGATAATGACACAAAGCCAGATCTATGCTATTAGAAACATTTTGGTATCAACAAAATGAAAGTTTGTCATTAATGGCATCCGGTTCCAAATTTTTCCTTGGACACAGGTGATTTT